TGGAAGTGCGCACCACAAAATTTTGATGCCGGATTCCGGCTTTTAAATTTTATATTTATACAGGTCTTGTCAGGTACTATTCCCCCTTTGCTTTTACTGCCAAGCTCCAGAAAACATCAATCATTTTTTACTTATTTGCGACGTTTTACAAGCCATAGGAAGAAACACTTAGAAACTATATTTAGAAGATTGAGCATTACTCGTAATTCTGAAAGTATCCTCTCCCTTGGTGCTTCTTCTCTGGGCCACAGCAACAGCAGCGTCTGCATAATAGTTTGCGAATTTCTTAGACTCAAGAAGGTTTGCTTGTTAGATTTCTTACTAATGAAATTCTAGTTCTTTGGGATTTTAATTTATTTATTCATTCCAATAAATAGTTCTTCACCTGATTTATCGGTAGATAACCTTATGATTATCCATTCTAATATTCCCTAAATGTCTGATTAATTAATTTTTCTTCTTCAAGATTTGGAATTCCTTTTTCCCGATTACATTAAGCGCCAATTTAATGGGCTATTCTTTTTGCATTTTTTAAAGTAATGGAGTGAGCCACACCTACCCGGTGCTCGGTGATGTCACACGCTGGGGTAAATCAGGGGGGGGGGGGGGGGCGGTCCTGACGCTCCTAGACCGTGCTACGGCGGGGTAAATGTCCCCCTCCCTCTTTTTAAGAGTGTAGTATGGCGTACATTCGACTTTGATATTGCTTGTTTATCTCGTGTTGTGCACCTGTGTTCAATACCCCTAGAGACCGGAGCAGGCAAGAATTTTCCTAATTTTTTGAAGGCGTTCGAACAGCGCGATGTATGTACATCGATGAAGATGCACGCTGTGACTTTCGAGAACATATGCGCGTGCACATGCTCAAGCCTTGCAGAGATAATCGAGTGAATTTCGCGGGTCATTGTTTGCCCCTCAACGACTCACGAAGCACAAACGCTCTAAAATACGTCTCAAAACGCCTACAATGCTACAGACGTCTTGGTATACGAGAAGACCGTAAAATAGACATTATCTAAATGGATGATTTGCGCCTCAAATGCTATGGCATACGAAGCCTCTTTAACAACTACGAGAGCCTGTTTTGCCAAACAAGTTAATAACTTCTACGTGAGACATCTTGTAGGCCTGATTCTTCGGATGTTTTGCCGAGAAGCGCCAAAATGCCAGAAAAAGATGTCGAAAGAGCTGCGACCGTCGGTGTTATTAACAAATAACACAGCTAAGCAATTCCCAAACAATTCGATGGTTTTACACCGCTCCAGCACGAGTGCATACCTGCTGATATATTGCTGTATATAAACAGTTGGGCAACTATATTCTTTCCAATCCAACGCGATCATACGATAACGACATGCTTCTAGCAGCACGCTCGCGCATTGACGCGCACGCATCAGCGTTATGGAGAGAGAGAAACTTTATTAAAAAGTCAGTAAATCACTTCAGGCAAGGCCCGTCGCAGGAAGGGCATGTTCGGCGATACGTGATTCTCATGCCATGCATGAATTGCTCATGATGAACATTGTGTTTCCGCGTGGCTTGATCGGCAGGCCACCGGTCATCGTTTCGCGTTTCGTTTATGTATATTATCCGGCATCAAGCATCAGTGCTCATACTGTCTTCCGCATATATTCGATCAGTGTTTCGTAAAACAAGTTACACCGCGTGTTTCGCCGGCGGATCTATAACTTCGCATGTTCGCATAATGTACTTTTCTTTTGGTAAATGAAACTAATTGTGCCTTACTTTTCATCATTACTACTGGAATTTTTTAGCTGTCTGGTAATATTAAAATGTAAAATGTGTCAGTTTTTTTATGGTGGTTGAATCTATTTGAGTCTTCGTCGAACGCAAAACCACATTTATTGATGGACGCGCTGGTGCAAATCGTAAGCCAGGCTGGCCCAAACTTCGGATGATATTTTTCATCTGCGGTTTACAACAGAGAATATCTATCAATTACAGCTCGTGTGCGGGTGTCTGCGTTCAAGCGCTGACCAATAAAGCGCGACGCTTTTAAAATGCAGGTGCCTCGCTTTGTGATGTGCAGTTATATTGATTGTCGTTTATATATGAAAGCATTTTATCACATATTGACACGTGACTATATATGTTATCGGCAATCTGTCTTTAGAATGAGTGATGCTGTGCTGTTTGTTGTAAATCATTAGTAGTTTACTTGATTTTTCTCGTACGCAGTTTTTATTCACTGCTGTTTGTGCAGACATTGGGTCTGAGACCACGTCAGGTAATCGCGGAAGCAAGTGCAGTTTTTTTGATGGGTCCTGGAGTGCATTGTGAAGAATATGAATTTATGTTGCTGCCACAGCAATCAGATTCACCTTGCGCGGCATCCTTCTGCCGTATTTGCTGATGATAAGCATGATTATTTGTGCGTCATACTCTAAACGTCATTGCGAAGTACTACGCGTTCAGATTACGTAATTTGCGTGTTCAAAATTGCGTATGTGTTGTACGCTAGCTTGTGCTTCAGATATATTATAAACTAATGTGTTCTATCAGTCATAAAGTTTATTCAGGGTCCCAAAAAACTACAGATTCGTAGTTGCGGGCCGCGTCCACTTTGGAGCCGGAAGACCAGGGTCCTCCACCCGTTCGCCAGTTCTGGGCAGCCCTTAGTTGTTCCTGGAGGTCATTACTTTTGATGGCTTCCTCTCGGTCCTTTTGTTTATTAAAAGAGGCATTGGAATGCCAAACATTGCCAGAACGCGTGCGCTAACCAGATTACTCTTCATGGTACTGAGTTAGTGGGGGTCGATGTTTGGAGCAAAGCGACAAGACCATACTCTTGACAGGAAAGATCTTGTTGGTAACATTTTCAGTGTCGGAAATTGAGGCCTAATATAGTCAGCTTTGGGTGCGGGAGCTTCCTGTGCCCAAGCTGATGGTGTTTCACTATATAAAAATTGGATATATGCGGTCAGCACCTTAACACTGATGCGCGGTGAACTGAAGAAGACATTAATTTTCGCGGCACATGGCACGGAACTTTGAAGTACGAGGGAGTGAAACAAAGTTATTTGGTCTACAATAGACGTGAGTCGGACGCAACGTCGGAAACCTGTAGAATTCACTATGGCGTACTAAATTAGAAGTCACAGTGAGAACATGCGTGGTTGTCACAGGAAGTGGGAGAGAAGAAGAAAGAACTCTCGCAGGAGCTCTTTTCAGTCCCTTGAATCTAGAACTTCATACATAGCGGTCGGCGAACATAAAAAACGCGCTGGAAAGGCAGTTAAAAGTTAGAAATAATAGTGTGTCTACCATGAAAACTGAGCCTTTAGATTGCTACTTCTTTTTAGAGGCTTTTATAATCGCTTGTTTTATAATTCTATGCCGTTACAACAAAATACCGAAAAAAAAAGTATAAAAAAACGTCTTAGCCTGGTCTTTTCAAGACGTTCTTTGAGCGATCATTTCATCTAACATTAGCACGGCTATTCGTGCACAGCTACATAATGTTTTGACCAAAACATCTATTAACTATCGGCTAGCAATTGAAGGCGTTTCGTAGACGTAAAATAGCTTCCTTAGAGTTTTAGGGGAAGTTAGTGGTGGTGGTATTTCTGCATGGTAAATTAGAACATTGCCTCCTAAACTACATGGTGGTAGTGCTAGTGGTTAGAAGAGGAAGAAGGCACCTAATTTTTGCAGCCCCACGGGGAGCACGGCGCACCGCCTGCCGCATGAAAAAAAAAAAAAAAACAGCAACAACGAGCTGCCACTTTTTTTTTATTAGTGTCGGTCGCTAGCGTCACCTGCGGCAGACGATGCAACTACTGAACAATTTGCCACGGCCGCCTGGCGCGACCCAGGTGGCCGTGCATTTTGAATAGCCCCCGAAATTGTCGTGTTTAGTTGTAGATCTTGAATAACTGGATGGATGGATGGATGGATGTATCAGGCTGTGCCCTTAGGTCGGGCGGCGGCTATGTGTTGAAGGGTTGAATTTCACTTGCGCCTTAGTTGTAGTCACCAATCAGTTAACCTCCACTTGGTTATTTACCCGTTTAAAGTCTGTTTTACCTTCACTCTCCTGAAATTCCAAGGCGTTGAAAAATTGTGCGCCATTATTTTAGTTCAGCCGTTTCTTCCTCCGCTCCACACGCGCTACATACTGTGTCTGTGCCTTCGTAACTATTTTTTTTTTTAGAGTGTTGGTCGCAAGCGCCACTATGCAGCGCTTGCCCAAAACTAAAGACAGGACGAATCGCTGGGAGCAGCTATTCGTCAGGCATCTTAATAAAGAAGGCAACGCCTCAGTCATGCATAGAGTTTCCTAAATATTAATTTTAGAAAAATCTATGCAGGTATTTTAACAAAAGAGGCAATGACTAGGGAAGTGTCATGTGAAAGAATACAAAGAAAAGTGAGGCCCATACCTAAACCTACAACATCAATCGTGGTATCTTGTCTTCCCATCACTCGACCACCGTTGCGGTTACAACGATGATGCCCCTTGGTCACATCCATGATGCTTTCTTGACCTGCGTGGTTTCGTGCCCGGCATTACGGGCTTTATGAATAAAAAATAAAAACAATATGAAAATGTCTCCTGTATCTTTTCTTTTTTTTTCCCCTTCGGTATAGCTGCAAAAAAAAAAAATGAAAATGAATAACTGTTTCTGACAACGTTTTCAATCCCCGACTCCGGTATTCAGGGACTGAAGGTGTACGACAGTAAATAATTCGTGGAATGCAACATAATAGGAACGTTCCTGCTCTTCACAGAAAGAGCCAGGCTGGTATCCAATGAACTGCTAAGCGCAAAAAGAAAAAAAAAAAAGTAGTAGACGTGACCAAAAACTAACTAGCCCGGTCCTGCATTTTAGTCCAGGCTACCACACATTAGCGTACCCTATGCGTAGCCGCGTGATCGGATACCGAATTATAAGTCCTTCCGACATCCTTCCTCCATGCCTTGCGATTATATTGTTTCGGTGCTCTGTGAGAAAGCGTACAAATCCAACCATAGCTGTGTTGCGCGCTAACGCCATCTCTCGGCTGATGTTTGGAGCTATGGAGACGTCCCTTCCTCGACGAGTGACACTGTTTGTGCCAAGATAAAACCAGTGTGCCAAACGTCCTACCATGCGTGATAAACTATTCTAGTGTACAATCGCTACCTCTGAGCGTGGTCAACAATCGCCCAGGAAAAGTGCCGCTGTCTATTCTCGCCTAAGCCACCCTATCCCTGAACATGGCTATCCGATTTGCTCTGGTTTAAGGAAAATACGAGGTAAGGCTCGCTTTTTCTCCGCCTGATTTGCTTTAGGAACGTTGCTCGTGGTCGATATTTCGACTTGCACATGATCCATTTACATTAGTCGCTTCGTAAGCTGATGTGTGGGCCAATCCGTTCGATCAAACATTTCTCGGCGCACGTATCTCGTTGTTTCTACTAGGCGGCGCTTGTTCTTTTCTTGTTTTCTAGGCTTCTTCCTGTACTCTTGCGTTCATCCGTGGTCGTGCATAATAATCGCATGACTTTATTGGGTCCTAACGTAAAGCCCACCCGTGCCTCAATCTACACAACTGCTTGCTGGCCTTCTTGAGCCACAGATTTTTTTTTTTTTCCTCGCGCGATGACTGAACCTGAAGCCCTCGGTTTAGTTTCGTCTTTTCCCTTATCGATTGAGGGCGATCTGTGAGAAACGTGTTTGTCGTAAACACAGGTGTTGACGCGTAAAGAAACCCTTTGATGAAATAGAACTCTTTGCTGCTTGTGCACAAAATGGGGTTTGTAACTAGGCTGGCACCCTATACGGCTGCGACATCATCTATAGCATTTCGTCGTATGTCATTACATGCGGCTACATATATACATTGAATCTCAATTTTTTGTTTTAGAGGCATCCGTTGATTTAGCCTCTCTGGCCAAGTTTTAAAACCACCAAAGCTTGCTTAATCCAATCCCTGCCGCGTTTTTGGTGGAGGGGAAAATGCTTGAGGCCCGTATGCTTAGATTTATTTAGGTGCACGTTATAAGAAACCTCAGGCGGTCGAGATTTCCGTAGCCCACAAGTACGACGTCCCTCACAAGCATGTGGTTTTGGGTAATTGAATGTTAACAATTATTATTACTCGGACGTTAAGAAAAATTGCTGACCATACTTGTTCTTTTCTATGAAAAATTGTATGGTTGCCTCCGTAACTGTAGTAATAAACAATCTACATTGTTAGTCAGTAACACAGCACACTTGTGTGGTAAATTGTTGCGTGTAAATATTTTGGTACATGAAAAAAAAAAAGGAGTATGCTTTACCCCCTACATAGCAAAATCCCACTCGTTGAGGCATTCTTCTTGATGGTTACTTTCAGAAGTCAGTTGGCATGGCAGATTGCTTCTGCACCATCAGTCTTCAACTGCATCTCAAACACTATCGAACTTTCAACTGATGCAGCCTTAGTACATATATACATCTCTTGAATTTGAACCAAAACTTACCACTTTCAAGTTAATTGGCATGAAAAACAGTACAATAGACACAAATACCACAGGACCAGTGTTGTTGCGCTTTTCACGCTTGCTAACTGCACAATGTTGCACCAACTTGCCCAGACAAAATCATTCCTAAAACAGTTATTATGCCTGCATTTCTAGGGCTTTTGGCAAAAGTTGCTCACGTTTATTTATTGGCAGATACCTGAAAAAAAAAAAAAAGTGCCAAAGCAGATTAAGAAAGATGATATAATACTAACATTCTGTGCAGCTTACTCTGCTATTTGGTGGAAACTGAAGACGGTTATTTATATGTTCAGTCATACCAAATGTGTACTTCAGCCATTTTCAAGTTTACATCTGTAGGGCATACTTCAGAATATAAGGCTGGCTGTCACCATACTACAGCCACCCTTGTGCGCCAAGATTAAGCCAGTTTATATGGCCATCCTTACTTAAGTGCATAATTTATTCATCAAGTAAAACACCCATAAATGGTAGAACACAACAACAGGACGAGCGGCTAAGTTAAGTGAATACCAATTATGCCAGTAAATACCTTATGCCAGCAAACACCTAAAATGCATCGTATTACCTTGTAAACCAATTTGCACATCTCGTCACACTGCAGAAAGCGTGGCACTACAATCGGGAGAATTGCTCATGAGTTTTACTGTTTGTTGTGCTGCTTTGGTGTGTCACTACAGATTCCATTTCTAGTTGTTGTTTTGATGAGGCAGCAATCAAAAAGCAGTGGGGTGCATAAATGTACAGTCATGCTCAATACGATTTGCAGAGCTGGAACATGTCTCCTACTAGCTCAGAGCTAACCGACAGCTTCCGAGAAGACGGCAAATTTGGCCAGTTGGTTTGTCTTTTTGTTTGAAAATTCTGTGGTTGCGCATCAAAAAACATGGACAAGAAGAAGTAGACGCTGTGCAAACGCTGTCCTGCTTACTTCTTTTCAATGTTTTTTGGTGTGCTTGACGAAATTTTCAAACATGACCGCAGCTTCCATAAGCCCGTATTACCACTACCGAACGCTGTTCTCTCACTTTAGGATTATTCTAAATAAGAAAATGCATTTCAGTTGTGGAAATGATTGTGGGTTAAAGTCGTGAAATATCTTTGAACTTGTGAGGCTCCTGTGTTGGGGGTAGGTTGTACTAAGTGTGACTTTGCAGTACTCATAGATAGAAATGTGACAAATCAAGTCCAAGTAATGTATACAGTGTTGTGTCCTCTGTCTTCAGTTCATGTCATATCAGCTTAATTCCTACTTAGACACTTTCATGAGATGCACCGTTACCTTTAATGGAAGGTTTCATGGCCACAGGACTTGGTTATTTGCCGTAAGTGTGCCTACCAGTCATCAAACTGTAAGATTTGAGGTCATATTTATGTCCATGAGCATTGCACATAAATGAATGTGGTGGAAATCAATACAGTTGAAATCCTTCATAAGAGACAAATGGGTATAAGAGACACCAGTTTGCCTACAGTAAAGTACGGGTGGATAAGAAAATGAACACGAGTCACTCTGCTTAAAAGAGACATCTCATATGAAAGACAAGATTTGCTGCCCCTAGCATGCCTCTTATAAAGGGGTTTAACTGTGTAGTGGTCCTCGCTGCAGAACCTGTCGTAGTCGAGATGTTGCTTTTATGAGCACGATAACTTGCAAATCTTGTATAAAGCGTGTGCGTAATGACCTTGTTTGCAGCGGGGCATGGTTATTGCTCCTCACCCCCCAGACTGGCTGCCAGGAAGGTGATGAGTGTTGGCACGGGAACGAGGCAGCCCTCTGGGTGCCCCTATGCGAGTCCCTGGGCACCACTGTAGAGCACGTCATGGGGGTGGGTGCATCATCGCCAGACCCTCCCCAGGTACGTTGTTAGAGGAACGTCTTTTACGGTGGCACTGGACATGTTTCTTAGGAATTGAGCTGCGAGTATAAGAGTGCTGTTTTGGAACTCACAAGTACTTTAAAAAGGCCTAACTTGAGCTTGTTGGCTTGGCTTTGACCATGAGACAAGAAAGACTGACAGGACTTGGCGCGGGCTAGCAACATGAGTGTTCTTTTCGCAGGTGCAAATATGTTTGCCATCATGTGTAAGTGCCCCATTAATCGTACTAACCCACAAAGAAATTAATGATCTCTACACGTGATCATCTCATTGTCATGAACTAATTGAGACGCATGCGTTGAACGGTTGCAGGCTCCGATGAGGCGTGTCCAGGAGCATGCGCAGCAGTGTCATGTGTGGTGGTGAATGCATGAATAATTATTTTTAAGTTACAGATAGCCACAGGGAATTCCGGTACTCCTGTTGTACCCGTGAACTTTCTGCTTATGTCTATTACATTGCAACCATTGGCATGTATGTGGGAGAAGTGGTTATTTTTGTGGAAACGAAGAGAAAAGTGCACCCCGCAACGGGCATGTATGTGGGAAGGGATGCTATCCATTTATTTAAAGGAGGGTGCCAACTCTGCCCTGCATTTCTACGTTGTTAGACATTTCAGGTCATTTTAATTTGCAGGCTTATGGCCACACATGTTTTTTTTTATGATAACGGCCAATGACATTGCATTCAAAGAACTGTTCACATCGCACATTTACCCCCAGGAAGACCATGGCAGGCTGTTATGGGAAGCATGTTATAGTTATATTTTTGCATCCATTGTGCAGAAAAGAAAATTGGACTCAACCAACTGTAGTTAAATGCCCCAGATTGATGCAACCCTCTTTTGTTGTGCTGTAGCAGCAATTTTTCACTTTTGAGCAGCACACTCGGGGCCACTTGGCACTGTCACAGTTGTGCCAGAATGCTGGACCTAAATGTGAGTCCAAAAAATCTGATTTCCTGAAACAATGAGAGTAGAACTAAGACGGTTAAGAGGCATTCAGTTAAGAGACATTCAGTTAAGAGGCATTCAGTTAAGAGGCATTCATATTCAGTTAAGAGGCATTCTAGTGCACCCAAGGTGACGTCATGGGGGGACACAGTTCTCTTGGTCAGCCATTTACATCCTCGTGGTAGTTATGTTGACGGTATTCCAAATAGCAAGACCCAGTGAAGGCCGGAATTGTTTCCAATAATTTAATAAAGTTTTCATATTTTGAATATGCTTAGAAATTTCGAATATGCTTAGAACACTACCATTGGCATGGCCATGATAGCGTTTCTGGCGGAGGTCTATGCCCCTGTGTGCATGTGCGTGTGTGTGCATGTGTGTGTGTGTGTGTGCATGTGTGTGTGCTTGCATGTGCATGTTTGTGTCAAAACAGTGCCAATATATTTCTGGCTGAAGGTTAAGCTCTGACTCGCCTTGATCAAACATGCACCCTTTGGTTAAGTGAACAATCACTACAGCGCTCATCACTTTCTCCTTTTGTGTGTCTATTGTGAGGGCTGCAGTTTTTAATGTTTAATTGTGTTACAATTGGTTCCATGGACAAATATACCAAAAGCCCATCGGCCTGTGCCAGTAGCATCACTGCGAACCTTTCTTCTGGTGGACAGGATTGAGTGATTGAGTTGTGCATTGTAGGTTCCTTCGGACATGGGGCGCAAGAAAAGGGCTCCGCTGCTGACACTGCGCAAGCGGCTGGCACGTCGCCGGTGGAGAGCCAGCAAGGGCTTTGACCATGCACAAGTGTTCAACGATTTCCTCAACTCGGCCGGCTGGACTGTGCGAGAGGTGAGAGCTCTCTTGGGAAGCAGTCAATAATACCATGCAAGGCAGTAAAACAATCTAATGAAAGGCATCTTTGTGTGTTGCCTTGCACAAGCCTACAAGAAATGCTGCATTGAGGAAGTGAGCAATGTGTTTGTGTTTTCAGGTTATATTTTGCTTTCTTGACAGTGCTTCTCCTAATTCTTGGTGTGGCGATTGCACGATGACACATGGGCTACAGCGATTGTTGCATTGCAGTGTTTTCTGTCGTCGCACTCTGATGGTGGTATCCTTTGCAAACTTCTCCGTGGAGATGTCCATGGTCCAGAATGGGGTTCTGGAACTGGACTCTGCATGTCCTACCACTTAGCCACACAGCAATGTCTAACAAGGCTGCCTATTGTTGTCACTGCAGCACCAGTGCTCAAGCTCCAAGGCACACACATTGTGTTAAAAAAGTTTTGTGGCTTCCTGGATAAGTGCTGGAATTATGAAGAGGTACTCTTGGAGTATTGCAACACTTCGGGCGGTCCTACATACAGGACCGTCATTTGTAGCTGCAGCACTTTGAGACTCTGCCTTGCAATGACTGCTCTCTCCAAAAGAGAGGGCAGGGGGGGGGGGGGGTCGACTGGCAGAGCTATGCGTCTCTGTTCACCATCGTCAACTACACATTTAAGCCAAAAGCCAAGTTGGATCAGCACGTGGTTAGAAATGTTGTATGTAAGGTTAACCTAGCAGCTGATAGTTTCCTTTGGCTCAATTGGTAGAAACACAACCGCCCTCAAAGAATGAAACAAAGTGTTATTATGAAAATAAGAAAGTTAAAAATCAATAGTTTGACTGTGGAAACAAGTAGTGTCAGTAATCCATCTACTAAAAAAAAAGCTACATTACTTTTGTTGTAGGTGAATTCATAGCCAAAGTCAGTTGAGAAAGGCTTACTTGTTTTTCTGTTTATTTGAATGCAATGTACATGGGTCATTGTGAGCAAGGTTGCCACTTTATAAGATGAGACTCTGGCTCTTCTAATGAGGGGGGCGGGCCTTATAGAGGTGCTTGAACTTATCTAAAATGGATGCTTGGGTGAAGTGGTTCTTATGAAAGATTTTGACACTGCAAAAAGACAGAACACTGCTGATCTCTAATCAGAGCTATGCCTGCATGTTCTTCCAAGTGTTCCTGTCATGTTGTGATGTTAATATATTTCGCAAGTTGAATTTACGCTGACCAAAAAATGCCACATTTGGTACTTTACACACAATCTCATGTATTGTAACATTGTTTCTGTAGTCAGCAGTCTACATAATGTACATGTACAAAACAAAACAGAGCTAAGCATCTACATATTCACTTAGCATAAAAATAAATTCTGTCTACATGTATGCTGTTCACTTTGCCAAAAATTACTGTGAATACATGTTGTCCATGGCCAGGAGCCAGCTTTTGTTCTTAGGTCTCAATAGTGCTTTGGAACAGGCATTGATGTAATTTTCTTGCTTTGAAGGGGAAGAATTTATGCTCATGATGCAAGCACGTAACCACTGATGTTGATTTTTCACTTTAGTTGAATGGCTGGTATAACTGGAAAGATTTTACTTGAAGTTTTTATGGGCACAAGATAAAAGTTGTTTGAAAATGCGTGAGAGTTCTGTTGACTAATGCAATAATTAGTACCTTTGAAGTTGCTGAATTTATGCTTACAAATTGTGAGAAAAAAATAATTGTAATACAATTGCCAAAAGACTGGCCAATGATGGTCAGTCCTAGGTAATGGACCAACAACAGGCCCACTATCTAAAAAATGGCCGGGCTGAATTAGAACCTGGTAGGGTGCAACTCTAATTGTGAGTGGCATAAGTACGGCTGTAGAAATGTAACTCTTCTTGCAAAAGGTTGTCTCGAAAGTCTAGTTGGTACATGATACTGCATGAGAAAGTGCTGGGATGAGACAAGTAGAGGTAATACACAAAATGCCAGGGCTAATAGCCTGCATTGGGTTTATGTACGTGCAAGATGGACAGTAAAGTTCTAGTTATCTGGCAAAGCTGAATTTCAAGGTCACAAGACTAAGAGAGTAGGGTCCTCCAGTTTGGGACGTCGATTGGGTAAATGCACAGGGTTGCTCACAGCTAGGTTCCCAGTGTGGCCGCACTTCATTGAGTGGCAGTGCATCCAGTGCAGTGTACACATAAACCTATGGGAGGTGCTTGCTTTTTTCATTGTGAGAGTGGTGCTGAAGTAGAGTTAATGGCTTAAATGCTCAGACATGGACGAAAAAACACAGATGCGGACAAGTGCACTCTTGCAACTAACTTTTATTCTTCGCATAACTCAGCTTCAGAACCCTCAAGCATGCGTTAAAGACCAAATAAAGTGATATAACATGATCTCTAGCAGTACCGCTTAACCAAATCCTATCATGATGCTGTAGACCGGCGCGTTGCAGACTCTCCTTCCTCATAGATGTGCTCCATCTACTTGGAGGCTTATTGACATTGTTCGTAAGTTGGTGCTTAGGACTGGCTTGTCACACTGATTTGTTTACAGGTGGCAGCCCTGGTGCACGATTATGAAGCCACTGGCGCCCTGCGAGAGCTCACGGCACACGCCGATGCTGCACGACCTCCCGCGCGCTCCTGTCGAGCCGACCTTGGCCGCTTGCTGGAATCCCGGCTGTGCACAGACGTGACTCTGGCCTACCGGGGCACTGCCTTTCCGGCCCACCGGGCACTGCTGTCGGCACGGTGCCCATTTTTTAGGGACCTGCTGTCGGAAGGAGCACGACAACAAATGGTATGGATGCTTGTCCATCCTCTTTAGTTTAATCTCGATTATCGAAAGGAGGGCAAGCAAGATATGCGTATCGTTTCCAGTTTGTGTGATTCAAAACTAGCCATCTTGCTCATGGTCACACTCTGTATTGGCTCAGCTTTTGTGAGCAAAGTGCTCACTGAAGTGCTTCGATAGATTTATATTTTTTCTGCTTTCGATCCTTTAGTAAATTGCTGTTTGCTATGCACAATGCTGTGCAGACAGACAGACAAAGAACTTTTATGAAGTTCTGAGGGACTAGGTGGGAAGAACTTTTATGAAGTTTTGAGGGACTAGCTGAGAAGGATCTGCTGAGTCCCTCGGCTCATCGCTAGCTGCTCCCATGTTAAAATCGGGAAGCCATGCCTCTCCGCTTTTTTCATGCGCCCTCTGGACGGCTATTGACTGGATATTCAGTGTGGTACTTAGATGTGTTCACGTTGCTTTTCATCTTTGTCCATTTGTGCACTAAAATTTGAGGCATGTTTGAAATGACGGTTTACTGTAGTGTGAAAAATGACAAAAATGTCAGACTGGACTGAAGCTTCTTTTTGCATACCTTTGCCACATGGCCCACAAAATACCGGTGGACATCCATCGGTATGCCAGTTTTGGACATACGTACGTCCAATGGAGATTTCGCGGAAACCGCCATCTTAACTATGGTCGTCTGTAGGACCCTTATGCGCGAAAAAAATTGTCGATCGTTCAAACGTCCAATGTGTTACCGAAACCCCATGTTTGGACACAGGACGTATCTGCGCTTCGTCCTTTCAGTACATGCTGTGGACGTCCGTGGGAATATAATTGAAATTAACGGACGTTTATTAGACATGCATAGCCTTGCTGCACAGTAGAACGCTCGCTCTCATCATACGCGATTGGTCGAGGGTCCGGTACCCACTACGACAGAAATGTTTACGCGAGCGTCGACCTATTGCACATGACAAGAACGAATGTTCCATTTTAGCATGCAAATAAGATCATGCCCATAATGACCGCCTTGGTACAGAAGCATCAAACCTGCCATGTACAATGCATTAGCTTGACTGGCTTTTCTTTTATTATAGCATGCTGCAGCTAATACATCAAACAAAACAGGAAAGAAGCAAGAAAAGAGGAGACAGACCCAGTACGGAGTGCAGGAATCTATATTTGTTTTAAAAACTTCAAATGACTATTGAAAACAATATAAGCTTTCACATGAAATTTCATTAACAATGACGATCATACGATGCACTTCAGGTCCCATCAAAGAAAGTGCACTGGCGATCGCGCTAGCAGGCGCGGTCGCAGGCCCTTTGTCTTGCACAAACAGCAGTGAAGAAAAGCTGCATACAAGAAAAAGTAAGTAAGATGCGTATGAGTTCCAAAAGATAAGATAGATTTCCAATAACAGATCTTATAAAAGGCTGTCATGTATTTGTAAATAACAATCAATCATAACTGCATCCAGGTGAGGCGCTTATACACGGCAGAAACGTTGCACTTCGTCAGCGACTGACCGGCATTGTTGATAGCATGCTTGCCTACAAGTATGTCGGCTTATCACTCTCACGAACGCGCCCACAAACGTGAGCTGTAACTCGCACAAGAACAAGATTATCAAAAATAGGTCGAGTCAGTCTAGCTTACGATTGTGTTCTGTAGCTACGTGTTCGACCAAGAATCAACTGCCAGCAAACAACTGTCATATTTACCGTATTAATTACAACTTTAGAACATTTCAGTAACGAAATGACGAAAAGTCAGGGGCTCCTAATTGGACTTGCCAAAATAAGTACTTTGTTTGAGTGGGTGATGTTATCTGAATGGGCAACAAAGGTGTCAAGCAGATCCAGGTATTGAATTGCAATCTACCGTTAGCGAAAACACACAGTAGAAGTTGTTTCAGAAAACACTGATGCAAAATATGCGGAAAACAGAATGCGGACTGTTACTTGACTTCGGATAACAGCCAATAATTTGTACAGGAAAACTGAACACGCCAATGACCAATGACCTGCCGATAGAGCCACCATGCATCATCGCGGGGGAAGGACAAGTTTCATGGCCGCTGAATAAAAAACACGGTCATGCAAGTTCCAACATGCATGACATTGTACTGCGTCACCATTTACACGAAGCCACGAAGTGCCCGAAGCTGATCAGAGCTGGCGTGCCCGCCAATGAGCGCCTGCATTTTGCTCTTGTGTTGCACCTGTATCGGACGCAGTTGTGCGAGCTTGTTGCTGCAAGCATCAATATACGAGCGCCTTGGCTTGAAAAGAATATGCCACACACATGTACAGCCAACCATTTTTTAAACCTGAACGTGCTAGCGTTGATCGAATAGTCTATAAGAGCCTTATTAACTGAGCACAGTGGCGAAGTTATATAACGACAATACGTGCATGCGCGCTGTGAGCAGTCTTCAGCTGTCATCTCCTAGGCTGTTCTGGGGCACGGACAATGAGAGACCTGGAATAGGGAAATAATGACTCAGGGATCGGTGCTCGCACATTCAGGTTTAAAAAATGGGCAGCTCTACAATCGTGCTTGCGGTGTCAAGCCAATTATTTTGGGGAGGTTCTTAGTAATTGCGTCATTTTTTAGTAAAACCCACGGTCACCACTATTTTAATTGACATGACGTTTGGCATTTTGGCACTTTCTCGACACAACCTTCTCAGAATCACAGAGATGGACATACGTTGAACGCTGGCTCTCGGTAGTGCCTAAACAATGTCTTGAAGTACACGTTATGTTTGAAAAATCAGGCTATGTTTTTGTAACAAGCTGCCACTCTAGCGTCGCCAGCGCGAAGTCGGCGACGGGAATGACAGCAGGTCGGTTCGTTCCGTACGCAAGCAGAGACAGTGAAGAGATCAGAGACGTGGGAAAACAAAACAAACTTTACTCTAGTGATATTGCAGCACACGGGATCTAATACAACACTTCAATACAACTAACAAAATACATCGACACTTGATACAACTAAAGAAATATATAACAGAAACAAGAAATCAGCTTACGAGAGAGAACTATTACAAACTACACAAACTAACAAGCATAGAACGACGAAGGAGAAAGTTCGAAGATATAAACAGGTGAAGGCATACGTGTGATGACCAGCAGCGTTGTGTCCCCGACGATCGGATGCGCGAAGTCGAAGAGAGTTCTGGCATGACTGCGATGTCGGCGGTGTTGCAACGCTGGTGGCTCCGGGAGGCTAGTGCTTGCAGGTGACTTCGAGCAGGTTGAGCTAACTCGAGGCGAAGTCCCGATGTCTACGTTGCAGACGTTAATATTGCGTCACAACTAGACGAACGGCTAAGTTTAGGTGGCCAGCCGATACAGAGCCACACTAAAAACTTCTAGAAGAGATGCTTGTTGATCTGTTTCTACACCATCTTGGTCAGCGACTAGTCTGCCTAGCAGGGCAAAATCCTGCGCTTAAATCCCCCTCGTGTCTCCTCGCTCTCTTCCTTGGGGACAAGAGACCTCTACATGGGTCCAATCATGTGCGTTTAGTTGACGGAAACTCCGCCCCAAAAATATTTTGACCCCACCCCTTTTTAATTGAGAGAGGGCCCGCAACTAGCGAGAGTGACAACCTGTCGGGTTGTTGTCATACGGCTTGGCCACCAGAGCGTTTCCCACGCTTCTCTCCGTGGGAACGGTCAAACGTTTGGCTCTCAGCCGGTGCGTCTTGTAGTCTAATCCTTGTTCGGGGTATACCGCGGCCTTCTACGACCTTGCAGACGTCGCCACAGTTACAAAAGGATTAACTGTCGGCGGCGACGTTCTAAGAAGAGCACCCCATTTTGCACCTCTCGGCTCCCTTTCATGCACCGCCGTTTCTCACGGTCAGTCTGGGAGTACGGCGCCCGTTAATTGCCGTGACGCGGTGTCGCCAAAAATAGCCGTCCGTGACATTGCCCCCCACTTTCAGAATGTTATTCATAACATTTGTTCACACGGAGGGGAATTTTTTCGACAACAAGGAACAAAACACCACCAACAAGGGAGGCATGAGGACTGTCCCTCTCATACACAACATACATAGGCAGAGTGCATCAAAGTAACAACAAAAGAAAAAACAAACAAATTGCTAGAGTACCAGCTTAAGTTGCACGCAACAATATCAATGCGCCATACAAACAAGAAGAGGAAATAGCCGTGTACGGCAGCCATCAATACAGAATACACTGCACAAATGTATACTACGAAACAAAACGGAACAGGTGCGCTCCTTTACTGTAGGGAAATCTTTCAATGTGCATTACAACAAGTAAAACAACCAATGCACCAAGCAAAAATAAAATAACTCAAAATACACTTCTTATACAATGAAATACGCTCATACAAACAGAAAACAACCGACGAAAGGAAAAAAAATAACATGCTCATAGACCTCAATTCTCAATGCGCGTAACGACAACTGTACCGGGTCACGCCAATCTTAATCAATTTACGAAATCATTTGGTTTATGCTAACATCTTCCTCAAATGCTCATTCATGCCACATCCCCATGGCAGTGGGGGCATACGATGCCACACTAAACCTTTGAAGAAACTAGAAAAATGACACATTTTCTCGGTTTTTACCTTATGCAAATTTTCGCACTCATGATTAACTAATTCGATGCTAACTTTCAGCCTTTGGCTCGGCGGTTTTCTTTCTGAACAATTTACACCGCATCACGTAACTTGCAAAAATTATGACTGAAGTCTGCATCTGCAAAGCAACACTAAGTAACCATGCTTAGCATGCACGTGCAACAATTCTTCAAACTGACCGCCCCCCTTTTCTCAATTAGATTCGCTTGAATCGCACACGATGGGGTCGCGTTCCCGGCGGCTTTCGAGCATGCCAGAGGTTACAAAAAGCACGAACGCCAGACTGTGTCCTGCTGTCACGCCTCATTCTGAATTTCGGCCGGCTCCCCTCAGGAATGTGCAAGGAACGCCAGAACCAGGGGGGAAGCCTGGGTAATAGTG